GTTTGCCATCGGCCTCTCGTCCACCACCGCCGACGAGGAGCTTAGGAAGCGCGTCGAGCGGGCCAAGCGCTTCGGCACCGAGCTCGACGACGAGACTAAGAGGCTGGCCGAGCGGGCCAAGCGCTTCGGCGTCGACGACAAGGAGCTGGCCACGGGGCTCGACTCCGCGCTGCCCGAGAGGCCGCTCAAGCGTGGCCGTGGCCGCAACGAGGGCGACGGCAACGGGCCCGGCAAGCGTCGCAGCCAGGACCGCAGGGAGCAGCAGCAGCCCTCGGGCAACGAGAGACGCAGTGGCCGCAACAAGGGCAATCAGAACCAGGGTGGCAAGGCCGCGGGCAAGCCCAAGTTCAGCAGCGTCATAGAGGATCCTGCTGAGAAGGCAAAGGCCGAGAAGCGAGCTGCCAGATTTGCTGCGGCGTAAAGAAGGAAGGAAAAAAAAAAAGTCAGCTGCAACGTTTTGGTTGTGAGTTTTTTTTTTGGGAAAAGGGGGGAAAAAGAGAAAGATCTGGAGATGAAATTCTATCTTGATAATGAGAAGGTCTTTTTTTATTGGGAGGGACGAAACGGCAAATGTATATCCTATGAGAGCGCTTTTTCTAATAAGAGGCTAAAACGGCGTTCTGGATTTTGGAAAACTACATCGTAATGGCTTGGGGAGTAAATTCGCTGTGATGATGCTGCTGCTGTTACGAAAGTGTCTGGTGATTGCGATGGTTACCTACTAGGTACGTTGGTCGTATTCACAGTGGACGCAATTCTGCTTTTGCCAAAGGGAACGACAAGGAACAAAAAAATAATAAAAAAATCCCTTGATCCATAAACGGCCCTTCTCTCCCCAACGAAACCAGGCCGGCAGTGACAGCTTCAATCTCAATCACCGCAGCATTCACACACAACACGACTTGTCCCCTTTTTCACATGCAGCAAGAGCCAAAAAAAAAGAATAAAAAAAAAGACGCACATCTCCAACGCTATCCTCCTCCCTTATGCGTAACATAAAAAGGAACAAGGTCCCCCATCACATATCAAATCACATTATACTAAAAACCCGTGATCTCCGCTCCATGCCCACATCCCAGCTCTCATCACACATATCACACACCTCCCCGCTCGCCGAACAGAACAGAAACAATGGCACTCACGGGAACAAGAGATCCTCCGGGCAGCACCACCTTTTTCTGCTTATCTATTGTGCTCCAAATGTGATGTATCGTCTAATCAAAGAGCAATACTACTCGTACTATAGTTATATAACAGGGGGGGGAGGGGGAGCAAGGCGGTACTACTGCTACTTTCGTCTACGTACGGGTACTACGGGTACGGGAAGTCAATCTTAGCCGTGAAGCTAGCTTGCAGAGATTTTTTGTGAATCATCATATTGCTACTATTCCCACATCCGTTTCAGTTGGACGGTAGTGGGTTTTGGTCTCGCTGAATAACAAGGCAAGCTTACGCGCCGGGCGTGCAGGCGAGAGGGATGTCGCTAGTCGCCCTGGCAGCTGGAAGTGGGTTTGACAGAGGGCCAATAGCAGCGAGGAATATCTTGGTGAGGCATCTGGTCCAGAAGATGCTAGTTCCAGCCATCAGACTAAGAGTGATATTCTCGGGGAGAAGCATCAAAGGTGCCAGGAGCAGTCAACGGAGTAAAGCACGGGATTATGCAGGGGAGAAAGGGGGATGACTACTCGGGCTTCTCCTCAGCTGAGCCACAGTCATGAGGTTGTATCGTCGACAAGATGGTGATTCGTCCCCAGACGTGAACACCACTTTTGACCAAGACCTAGATGAGGGAAAGCCCGAGTGCGCCGTTTCTAGCTCTTTCTCGAGCATGCCCGGACTCAGCATACTAAGCTGATTGTCCGAGACATCTAATAGTGAGAAGAAGAGCCGTGCTAGAAATATGCAGAAGGAGGAGGGGCAAAGAATAGATAGTCAGATATCAGCTGCTGCGTCAATCAGTCAACAGAAGCCAATCACTCGGCATCCAGGCAGCCCTTTCAACTCCGCCACCAACATGATGTGTCATACGGATGGACCAACAGGAAGTCGAACAAAAGATCCATCCCAAGTCGCCGTGAGAAGTCGTCTGGGACCAACGCGCTAATCCCGCATTTCGAGCAAGAAAAACTGCTTCCACCGATAATCAAGCGCCCCAACCACACCAAGGAGGAGCCCATCTGATAGCGGCTCGCTCGGTGGTGAGACGAGCAGAGCAGAGATTTCACCTCGGCGAGCCAAACGCCCGTGCCTTGTTCCCCCACGTGTGTAGACCCAGTCGGCAGCCATGATTCAGTGCTGAAGAGGCAGAAGGACCAAGGAGTGGTTGGATGGTGTTGGACTCTTCTCGTCACGTTACTTGGAGACGTCGAAACCCGGGAGCCAATGGCATGCGGGAAACCCTTGCTGAGCTAAAGCGAGATGGGGTCCTCGCCTGGCGTGTTGCGCACTTTGATATTGATCGATGGGCAAATGGGGTGTGAAGATTTGCAAGGGCAGGGGCCGTGGCTTGATTGGCCAGGCGTGCTGTGAGAGAAGGTTGTGGTTTCAACAGCAGCATCCGATATGCCTCTTCGGTAATGTGCCGTGTTAGTAAACCAAGCCGACGTTGTTATGCCTTGACAAGCCGACGACGGTCAGCCCAAGTGCAGACGGAGTGCCTTGTCTCGGTCCCGAGTGACTGTTGCAATGCATTGATCCATGCTCAGGCAACAAAAGCAAAAAAAAAAAAAAAGACGACGACGAAGAGAACACGTCACAAAGGCCCGGGAACGCAATGGCTGCATACAATGGCAAGATGGCAATTCTGTCCCCCCAAAATGTCGTCAGCAAAAGCGCCGGCCCTGGATCTGGCGATTTGACATCAGCCACAGGCCACCAGCCCCACCAGGCCAAGTGCGGGAGCGGCCACGGCGGGACGAGCCACGTCACAAGCCTCACTTTGTTCCCAGCTGTGGCCAAGTGTGGCGAAGCACCGTCAAGTCAATGCGTGTCGATATTATTAGACATACCTAGACAGGTTGCCTCCGTCCCAACTTGATGCCGGCATTTCGTTTTCGTTTTCGAGATGTGCAATGCATGAGAGCGAGAGATGCGATGCCAACAAACAAATCGGTGACTGATGGACATGGCCAGCTCATCCAGGTCGCCACTAGCTTTCCATGCCCTGGATGCAGCTTTCAGCTCCGTTGTGCACCCCGAGCCGTTGGGCCAAGGCATACACAAAGCACGGCTTTTGGACAATGACTGTCCCGACATCTGCCGCATGCTTAGCGTTCAGGATCAGGATCAGGGCGTGCGGCTGCAGGGAGAGCAGAGGAAGGCCTGTTGCTATTATTGTCATTCTTGTACGAGTACCACATCGTCTTGATTTGCTCATGGTACTCGTAATAGCCATCATGGATTAAGTGCTCCGTACTCTGCCGGGCTTTGCTCCGCGAGACGGGGACGGGAGACCATTACGAGGCCCAACCCGGCAAGCTGTCCGACTTCTCAAGGATTCTGGTCGAGGTTTTGCAATGGCGATATAATCAAGTTGAGTTGCAAAACGGCTGAGGCATGTTGTGTAATTAGCATGCTGGGGTACGTGCCTTGTTTGCTAGTGATGTTGAGAACGAGGCGTTCTGGGTATCGGGGGTATCCCGGCGAGCAGGGGACGGGAAAGCATTCAGTTGGCTCGAGCAAAGTGATTGGAAGAAAATAAAAAATAGTTGGCCAATGGCAGCGCACAGGCAGCCGCCCTTCTCCTCAAATATTGACGAATCGCCGCGTTTGCCAGGTTCGAAAAGTACTTGATAATGTGTACACACTCGCTGAGGCCGTGCGTTTGATGAGCGAAAGTGGACAAAGTGAGCCTCCAAGCCGGATGCCCACTTGGAGTGAAGACCCTTGCTTCCGCGGTGTGATAGTGGTGGTGCGACAATTTGCGGCTGGCCTCCGGGATTATCTGTAGTGCAACACCGGTCTAATATGTGACAATATCGGAAATGACAAGGGAAAAAGAAGAGAGAAAAAAAAACTTGCACTTCTGCTAGCAATTCTTCCCCTTTGCCGAAGGGCTGGTCGAAAAGCACGAAGCAGATAGGGCCGCAAATGCATGGTGATCTACTAGCAGCCCATACCTTGCACTGCTAATGCTCCCCAGCTGGTTACATGCAGACGGAAGATGCATCAGAGGCCCATGCAGGAGCATCTCTCAAACCTGAATAACGGCCGACATCTGCCCGCCTAGGCGTTCATCTGGAGAGCATTGGATACGGGCGTAGGATTCAGTGCTACCACCGCACAATATCCAGGCCTCGCTGGTTGGTGTCTCTCGGGCAACGGGATGACTGTTGCCCGTGCGTGGATGCGAGAGTGTGTGAGAGAGGCGTGGAGCGTGGATGCAGGTTGTTTCTGCTTGTTCGCCAATTGAAGGAAGGGATTCATCTCCCAGATCCAGACAGACAGACGCGCTATTCGTGCCTAGCAGTCGATGGCGAGGTTAGCATGTATGTAGGTCTAGTAGTTAGTACGCGGACAGGCTTCAAGTTATTATTACATACCAACCAGCGCCTGGAGATGACAGCAAGAGGCGAGATGGAGGCAGATGGATCTATGCGGGGCAGATGGAGAGAGACTGAGGCTTGCTTGACATGTGCAAGTTGATGTGCAAGTACCTGTAGCGAGAAAGACGAGTTGATGCAAGGTCTTGGTCTTGCTTAGGTGCGATGCTAGCAAAAAAGGTGCGGAGTAATACTTGGGCCAATGTACCTTCTCACCAAATCAACACGATGGATGCAGTGCTAACTTACGCCCTCCATCGCCAGCTACTGTACAGATTACTACTGAGCAAGCTACGCAATACACACATTGACAAATGAACAGGCAGCACACTTTGGAGCCTGCACACCCACCCCGTTGGCCCTCACCCTCCATGGCCTGCAAAATTTGACGCCCACCGATGCCGTCCAGTAGGAGAAGGTGGATAAGCTAACGACGCAGATCGTGCGGAATGCTGAGACATGCAGACACCTCGTCCTCTGGATCGACCTGTCGGAGTCGACAGAAATGAGACATACATGGCCCAGGCAAGACATGTCTCAGACATGCATACAGCCTCTAGCAGTCTAGCAGACGACACCCGGCTGTGGCTGATGCCTCTTCCCAAACGGGCGTAAGCTCGGCGACCACGCCCAGCTGCCTCTCGCGTGCCGGGACATGAGCCAGGACATGGGAGACATGGGACATGGGAGCATGGAGAGAGCGAGACCTGAAGGGTGCCATGTGGCCGCCAACAACAGCAACGCCTCTGGGTGCTGGCAATGACGGTGACGATGATGATGATGACAATGATGGCACGACGACGGCGGCGACAGCGGCCACGACGACGGCACTTGGCCTTGGGCAAAGAGACCGACCGTCCAAGATGGGGGGGGGGGGGCAATGTGGCCGTCTGGCTACCTACCTACTCGTACTCCGCCTCAGCCTGGACGTACATCCAGTCCAATATGCTGCCAATTGCGCGCGACGGCTAGCCTGGCAGCGACGACGAGGTCGCCGCGCCAATGAGTCCCTCGCACGCTGTATTCCCTCGGCCTAGTCCTCGCCGCTGGGCGCCTCCAGGAACCATGGCAGCCTTTCATCTTCAACGGCGAGGCCAAGCGGAGACCTCAGACCCTCGGCCGCCCCACCGCTTGCTGGGGATTTGTGATGCTTGGACTGCCAGGAACAGACGCTGTGGCCAGCCCTCGTGCCCAATCGCCGCCTCGCCCTGCCCGGCCTGGCTCTGACGAGATTCCATAGGACCACGGCCGTGCTTTTCATGCGCATGGCATGGCGGCGCAGCTGCATCTGCATCTGCAGTAGCAGCACCGCAGTGCCACTGATCTCCCCAAGCTTCCGGGACCCTGGCATGGACGGACTGGCCATCGCACTGCCTCCGATCGGCCACATTTGACCGCCCAAGCCCGTACGGTGGCCATCATCTGCTTTGAGAATCTTTGCCGTCTGCAGTAGACGTGGACAGTGACAGCAGAGCATGCCTCTCCACCGGTAGGCTTTCCCAAGCACTCGTGTCAACCACTCACGATGCTCCCAACCGGAGGCCTTCATCGCCTAAACAAGCATGATGCCAATGATCGTGTCTACAAAGGGCTGCTGTGCTCTTCCCTCCACTCCGAGCAGCCTCATCCACCTGCTTTCCCCGCCCTCTCTCAATCTTTGTCAATAACAAAATCTCGTTGGTTTATCCTCAGTCCCGACCACCGGGCCTCGTTTCGCCACTCCACACCTACTCGTGCCTTCTTTGCCACGCTTGTCTTCGCAAAGGGACCAATCGATCCCCAGCTGGCAAAATCCTTTCTCGACTCGACATCCCCCTGTCCTTTGCTCCAAGCCAAGGGCTCTCTCGGCCTGGCTCAGTTCAATTTTAACCTACTCGCAAGCGCTCTCTCAGCAGCACTAAGCTGCTCCGTCCCTAGTTCAGCTTATTCCCGTCTCGGGCTGCATCCCCACTCCTCCGGTCCTCTTGAGTCTGCCGGTTCTTTTATACTACCGGCACTCCATCGTTACATTGTTCCCTTTTCGTGCACAATAGTTTCTTTTTTCCCTTCCTCGTTTATTTCTTGAAATAGCCACTTACCTTCGCTTTTGGACACCTCGACGGAAGTTTCTTTTGCTGCTCCGGAGCTCTTCGACAAGACTCCCTCGTAATCTGCCTTCATTACCGGATTTGGCTGTACCCCATCGTGTACCAGCAGCTCTGCTAATAGCCAAGGTTTGACCTTAAGCTCGTGGCCAACAAGGTGAGCAGGCTCATTTCCATTAATTCATTACTGATGGGGTCGAATTATTACCTGTGCTCTTTCTCAACACCTCAATTACTACGCAGTAGTTACGTTGCATCTGCTGACATCTGTGCAAGACCAATTCTTGACGTGAAACACCCTTTTGGACAAAGTATGCATCTCTATACATCATAAGAGGCATGTTTGGAATACTACAAACATCCCACGAGGTTGGAACAGTATGGCATCCCCCAAGGCGGGATATGGATTACCAGTCAGGCCATCCGATGGCTTGCGAAGGCGGCCCGAAGACTCAAAGCCATTGAGTGGCATTCCCAAATCTACCTCCCGGACGAGCGAGAGAGAAACGGACATCCCGAGGCTGGCAAAACAAGACTCATCGCAGCCACGTGCGGCTAGTCGAGTCCCTCTTCCATCTTCAACACGCCGCCCCTCTGCTACTACACAGCAACCCGCCCCAAAGATTGTTCCGGATCGGCAATCAAAGTCATGGGGCTCAGCCACGAGCTCCTCTGGCTACTCACGATCCCATACACAAACCGAATCAGGCTCCTCCTCTTCCAGCCGGTCATTTGATAGTAGCTCAAAGCCGGGCCAAAATGTGCCGAGACGGAAGAAGCCCTCTCCATCACCCGAGGTCGGCACTCTGCCTAGTGGCTCTCCTGGTCCAGGTCCCAGTTCCCCCAAGGGTCAACCGCAGGTAATGGTGGGCTCGGCACTCGGAATCCAGTTTGATCGAAACATGACGGCCAGCCCAAGCGCCATTCAAAGAGAAGAGCCGTCTGGCGCTTCGAAGCCGGTCGGTCAGTCTCCAGTCATCTACCCTGAGCTAGATCGCTATCGTCATTACGACCGAGTACGCGATGCTTTGAATAGACAGGCCCCCGACATGCCCTACCGCTTGGCTACACATGATCTTCCGCCGCCAACTCCTGGGAGCCTGCTCTTCTCTGCCAACAGCAGTCAAGTTAGCGCCATCAGTGGTAGTCCTTCTACCAGATTTTCTGCCTCACCTGGTCCGGGACCATACAGCCGGGACACAACGCCAACCTCAATCTCCTCTCAGTCTCCTGGCCTCGTTGTTCCCAGCCGCGGCTTCCCATTGACAAAGATTCGACAACACAGCCCCGCCTTTACTCGCCCGCCTGTGACCCGACGAAGGACGGGGAGTATATCAAATGAGGTCGATATTATAAGCGTTGATCCCCACGGCCTTGCTGCGGTTCGAGAGTCGTTGACTTCCTCATCATCAAGCTCTACTGTCAAGGCCGGCATCAACCCAAAGAAGGGAAGAAAAGGTGGGAAAACCTTCGTATTACCGCCGCAAAGCCCCCCTCCACGCAAGTCATCGCAGAAATTTCTCTCGAGCGAAGATGAAGAAGAGCTATCTCCCAGACAAAAACGCAGACCAGAGGCCCAACCAATGAATATCTCATCCCCGCCAAAACCAGCCCTCCCGCTTCGCAGCTATCAATCACCTTCGCCGCAGGCCATGCCTCCGCGCCGACCCAGTCGAGATGGCACCTCTGACCTCAAGTCCCAGCTGTATACCCCCATCCCGGTAATCCAGAGTAGCTTGGCACTCAGGGCAATCAATTCAGAAAGACGCGATAGTGAGACTACAATGTCTCCTCCAGCTCCGCTTTCAACTCTGCAGACCAACAAGAGTGCATCAACATCGAATCTACTCACGTCTGAGCAACCTACCTCATCAGGCAAACTGACGAGTAGGAGAAAGCTAAGCGTGTCTGGCCCACTTGTGTCTGGCCCAGCTCGACCTACTGCTACACCGCCCCCAAATACCAAGAGCTCTGGCTCTCGTTTCCCGTTCTTTGGGCGCAGAAAAGCTTCTTCAGAGAGCGCGCCCAATGAAAAGGACAAGAAAGACAAACAGAAAGCATCTCGAAAGGGTCCAGCGGCTGGCACAGGCCACGAAGGGTACGGACGACTCGGTGCTGTTCGGCGGCGAAGCGGAGTCATTGCCAATCCTCAAAAATCTAATGAGAGCCTTGTCAGTGGCGACTCTTTCCTGGCTGACCGCATCAATCCTGTCGTGATTGCCGGAGGAGCTGTTGTTGAGAATCGAAACGCCAGCGCAGACCTCAGCAGGACAGAGAGCAATATGAGCTTCACAACCAACGAGCGTCCAAGCATTGATTCAATAGCAAATTCAACTACATCTTCCGTTTCAAGGGATGTGCCTGGAACAGGACTTTGGCCATCGGCTATTCCCCGTGGACAGAATTTCACACATGCTCGAAAGCCGTCTGACAGCGACGCCAGCAGCGTGGCTATGGGTTCTACTCTGGCATTTAGACGATCCGTTCAGCGGTTGAAGTCATTTCCAGACGACCCTCTACAACTGCCACGACCGATCAACACCAGTGGCGTGATTACATCGCCCATGACTAGCTTTGATACCAGCATCATGTCTGATGAATCTTCCATCTTCAATCTTCAGCCACAGCCTTCTCATGAAATTGCCAATCCTCATCCGGCTCCCAAGAAGCTCAAGAAAAAGCCTCGGTCCCCAAGGAAATGGAATTTCTTCAGCAGATCGAACAACCAGCCCAAGCCAGACAAGACAAGCGAGCCGGTCGCCGTCACTGTACAGCCAGTGGAGAAGAAGCCGGTGGCTTTTTACACCATTATGGACTCGCCCGAGCAAGAATCAGCCCGGCCTGTAGACCTCAAAGAGATTTTGCGTGAGGTGGATGCCTACGCACGCTCACCTGCCAAGATAACTACACCTGAGTTGCAGGCAGAGGGAGCTCAGTCGTTTGGCACTTCGCAACTGCAGCCTTCGGCGAACATTCTACCACAGCCTCTCCCGCCAGTACAAGACTACTTTGCTGTGGCCGACGAGCCAACTGTTTCCCGGATGGAAGGAATACCTCCTACAGCAGTAACTCTGAGTTCTGGAAGACCCAGTCGCTTGGTACAGGTGGGAAGGATACCGCAGGTGGTGAGCAACCGGCCAGAGGGGCCCTCTCCCCGCAGTTTCTCTCGGTCTTTTATGGCACATGAGCAACTCTCTTTGCATATACCCAAAACACGCGGTCCAGGCTTGAATACCAGAATACCCAATTTTTCAAAACCATCTCCCATCCCGGATACCGGTGGTGGTGATGGCTCAACGACGGATGCGGGCACCGAGTTTTCTTTCTTCAGCGAACCTAGATCACGTCTATCTCCGGAGCCTACGACTACGCAAGAATTCCTCGCCTTTTCTCCCCCTCGAAAGGATTCTGACTGTACAACGAGCTCGACCGAATCTTGTGTTTCGTACAATTATGCAGAGGCGACTGCTGTTATTCCAAAGCCCGAGGACCCACCTGCAGACGATGAAGTTTGGGACGAATATGACGACCTTTTGGGAGAAGACACCGTGAAAGCCCGACAGTCGACCACGTCTTCCAGGGGTGTTCCGTTCCATCTCGAAACCTACCAGGTGAGGCTGGCAAGAGAGAAGCCTCTCGAATCTCCAACAATCGTCACTGATAATCGCAAGCTGTCAACCATTTCAGATGCGCCGACGGCTTCCACTACTTTCAGTGCCGACATGACGGAGAGAATTCGAAAGGCCTTTCAGCCTCATCCTAGCCCTACGGTGCCCTCACCCGTGCCAGAGGTCGCAGAACAGAGCAATGGCCGGCATTCCAGGAAGCCTAGCGCCGCTGAAACCATGCGCAACAGCATCGCCTCTTCCCGCAAGTCTAGGCAGTCTGGCTCGTCTACCTCTTCTGAAGAATGGACGCCCCTAGCCCAGGTGAACCTTCGTGTAGGTTCCATGACCGTCTCCAAGTGGCTGAGCTTTGGCCAAGTTCTCTTCAGCGACATTCGACATGGACTAGGCCGGGGCCAAGACTCTCTCGAGCGCCAATCAGTCCTTGTCATTGACGGGCTTGGTAATGACGATTGGTCGTTTTATGCTGCGGAAACATACTCGGCTGCCCAATTCTTCAACCTCTCTCCACGAGCCCCTTTGCCTACACCCGATCCCCAAAGCTCGGCATCGCGCTATCCCCTCAGCCCACCCAACCATCGTCAAGTACAATATCTTTCCCACCTCGATGAGTTTCCCTTTGCTTCGAATACCTTCAACTGTGTCGTTTATCGATTCCCGGCGGCCGCTCCGGATTCTCACTACGAGAATGTTCTTTCTGAAGCCCGCCGTGTCCTCAAGCCGGGCGGATATCTTGAGTTGTCTATTCTTGATGTTGATCTCAACAACATGGGTAACCGCGGGCGCCGCACCATTCGTCAGCTCAAGGAACGCATACATGAAATGTCACCAGAGACTAACCTGGCGTCTACTGCTGATTTAATCGTCCGCCTCCTGGGCAAGAGCGGCTTCTCGACCATCAAGGCTGCCCGCGTTGGTGTTCCGGTTGCAAGCTCAATCACGTCCTCCGATGACAACTCAAAGGGCAAAGGCTTAGCTGAGAAAAAGACGAAAAAGCTTTCCAAAGACCAGCCTAGCTTGGCAGAAATGATGCGAGATCAAAGTCCCAACGCAGATGAGGGCATTACCAACATGGTATCCCGAGTTGGACGTTGGTGGTATTCTCGATGCTATGAGAACACAACCAGCCACTCCTCCGGAAAAGACAGCATCTGGAACGATAAGGCTTTGCTCAGGGAATGCGAAGACCTGGGCACCAGCCTCAAGCTGATGGTCTGCAGTGCCCGTGCGCCTTAGACGATCAACAATATCTAATCATATCCCGCTCAGTGCTTTGCAACCTGTTTTATATCTCTTTATTACTCTGTTTTTGTTTCATTATATCTTTCATTTTCTCATACCTTCCTACTGGCACCTGGAAGCAATGATACTGGAAAAAAATTTCTCAAGATTGGAAGACATGGCGCAAGCCAATCCTCAAGACTGGATCTTTAACGAGCATGATTCGACCTTCTTTTATCTTCACTTTTCATCTTTTATTTCTCTCTCTCTCTCTCTCTCTCTCTCTCTCTCTCTCTCTTACTCTCTCTTTTTTTTTTTTGGTATCTGAAGGGTTGGGTCCTCAATAACGCAAATCCGAGACTTCCACCCTTCCCTTCAACGAATGAATCGCGAACAGCATATATACGATGGCTGTTGAGTCTCTGTTTAGCGTGCGCTGCATTTCAGTATACTGCTCGTTTCCTCATTCTCCATCTCTTTTACCTTTTTTTTTTTTTTTTTTTTTTTTTTTTTCACGCCGCCGGATGGAGGACTAGTTGCCGGACACAAGACCGATTTACTCTGGAAGAATTGTTTTTTTCTCATTTCAAATACGGCATTTGGGGTTAAATATTAATGGAGATGGCTCCTCCCCTTGAAGGGCACTAAAGCAGATTGCAATGGCGGGCCGGCGCACTCTGCGGATGTTCCTTTGGAAGGGGTAACTCTCGTCAACATTCCGAGATTGCAAACGAGAGGAAGAGCGCAAGGGGGGAGGATTTACACCGAAAAAAAGGGGATTTAGTTTTTTTGATGGCTTCTTTTTACGAGCGATTATGACGACGATGACGATACACATGAATATTTTTCTTTTCTTCTTTTTCTTTTTCTTGTAGCGCTGTATATAGAGATACCCGCCAACAATTGGTAGAAATTTGAGAGTGAGAATGTTTTTTTTTTGGCTGGGACTTTAAACTTTTTTCTCTTTTTTTGCAATAGCGAGCGGAAGGCTTTTTTTTTTTTGACTTGTTTCTGTTTTGAAGATTGATATGTTTTGTGTTTTTGAAATTGGTTTGACAGTTTGTGTTTGTGATTATGAGGTGAATATGGCCGACTTGTCCTATCTTGTAGAGTAAAAGATTGATTCTCTTCTATAAGTATACTTGGATTCTGAGATCTAGTCTATCGGCGTCGAGGCAAACATCCACCAGGTAGATATATAAATGATGCAATATATACAAGAAATTGCCAACACATTGTCTTGGCTGAGATGTCGACTTCACTCTTGGGCCTCTGGTTCTTCAGGGGCTTCTTGGACGGGCATCTCAGAAACAGGCCATCGCCGCAGTACGGCCACAAAACCTCCGCCAGCAACACGCTCGCCTACTCTTGGCCGCATCACCTGCACCGGTTTATTGTTGCCGCCCTCGCCCTGCTGCGCTCTCGGCACTACCGTTTTCACGTCCCAGTGTCTTCCGCCAGAACTGTCGTGTACCCCACCGTCTGATGCAGTGGTAGAATAGAGCTCAATGACCTTTTCCATGCGCACAGGCTGTTTTGTCTCGTTGGACCAGGCTTGGAAGTCGGCGATTTGACTAATGGAGGGCTTGAAGATGATGAGGAGGCCATTGGGGTGCAAGGCCTTGATTACACGTTCGGCGTTTTCGTGCGCCGACGGGAGATCGAGAATGGCGCGGGAGAGAAAAGGTTGTCCACCTGTTTGCTCAAGCCGCTGACTTATAAACTCGTCTACAGAAGTGACGTGGAAATCGACAGCGGGCAAGTACTGCGCACGGCGAAAGTTGCGAACGAGCTTGTACGCAGCGCGAGCATGCTTCGAGTTGTGATCGAGAGTGTGCAAGACTGCGCGACGGGAAGAAGCATACGCGTCGAGAGCAGCTTGCTCCTCGGGAGAGATTTCGAGACAGCCTCTGGAAGTGGCGAAATCGTAACGAGCCTTGAAGGGGGAGGAGATGAGAATTTGTCGAAGAGCAGGTGGTAGAGGCGGGTTTGCTGCGTGCAGGGCACGGGCAATGTGAAGAGTGAGGCTGCCCATGCCTGTGCCGGCTTCGAAGATTTCGAAGGGAGGGTTTTCATCGTCTTGGTCGTCTTCGCCGGGACGAGAGGGGTTGAGGTCGAGGAGAGAGACGATTGTGTTGGCGTCGTTGGGATAGATCTGCAATCTGATTTAGCTTCTCAAACCTAAGTACCAGCGCGTGTAGAAATCATTTACCGGTGTGGCAAGGCGCTCGCTGTTGATGATATAGCTTGCAAGAGACGGTTCATGCAGAACCACGGAATTGCCAGCACTATCGCGGACCACATCGAGAACGCGACGGCCGATCAGCTCAGACGCCGGGATGGAAGCGCCATACGAAAGCCTCACGCGAGACTCTGGCTTCAAGGGAGCCGAAAGATGCCATTTTGCGTGCTTGGCGCCATGCTGGCGGAGGAAAAGGACATCGTACTCTGTGAGGAAGAAGGAAAAGAGGTTTGTTTGTCTGTGTCTTATTGTGTTCGGGAACCTGGTTCGAGAAGCTCCGGAGGCGTACCTTGTATTGTGCGATTCGACGAGGAGTAGAAGCGGCGAAGGGCTTTGCTACTGCTGCTGAGGGTCTGGAGTTGCTGGAAGTATTTGGACTTCAATTGGCCGCGAAACAGCGACATGTCGGCGGGTTTTGGTAGGTTGGGAAGAAAGATGCTGGTAGCTGATAGCTGCTGGTGGTGATGAGGTCACTGTGAGTCTGTGAAAGATTTGCGCCGGTGATACCTCGGAATGGGGTTTCCCGATCTTTGACTATTGTTACAATTCTAGAACTTATAGGCAGCAAGTACTAGGTAATTAATAAACAAATCAATGAATATTTACAATGAATATACCTAGCTTACAAGGGCAAGAAAATGTGATGTCATCATGTCTTTATTCATTACCAAGGTTTTAATACTAACGGCAAGTCAAGTAGAAAAGAAGGTGCGATGAGAAATCAGGGTGCTATCGTGCCTTCCCAGAAGGCCGATCTGGTCTACATCTGCATGACAATTGCCTCGTCCGTTCCTGCCATCCAAACTCCAGCCTGCCGCCTTCCCAGATAGTGCAGGAAATGCTCGATAAGGTATTTTTCTGCTCAAGTTCCAACAACTCCAACGTTTGCCCTTTTGTTAAGTCTGGGATTTTGCCTCAGCCATGCCAGACCCTCAACATCGTGTCCTCTCCCCTTGCGGTCTCCGGAAACACGAAAAAAACAACGCAAAAATACAACAAAACAACAACAACTCATTCACACTATTATACACGGATGCACGCGCATCCAGCTAAGAAGCCTCCAAAACGCCGGCTCGAGGTGCAACAACTTGCGCGCAAGGAGACAAAAATAAAACCAAGGAAAAACGACTTGTCAGCGTGAACTAGACGACAAAGGAAAATTCCACGAGGGTGAAAAATATCAGCCGTCCCAAACTCCAGGCTCGATATGAGATGGCAAACGGTACGGAACCGAAATCGTCGCTATGCGCGCCCAAACCCCCTTGATGCTGGGTATCAACCGTCCGCCGAGATTCGACAAAAAGATCCCGACAAGTCATGCTCGCCAAAACGCGTGTTGCCGACTCTTTTCTTTTCTTTTCTCAACGAGATAATCGTCATGAGTAAATGAGAGACAAGGTATCGTGATACCGCTAGTTTGGCTTGGACGAGCCCAAGCCTCGAGGATGCTTCGCTAAATGAAGCCCCATGATCTGCTCGACGTGCCCATCTGCATGGCAGCGGCCCACGAATTCTGTGGTTCTTGGGCGTGCTCGGTTGTGTGGAAGTCCTCCTCGAAATAAGGATGAATTCTCACTCCCACATGCTCTTCCAGGATGGAGACGAGTGAGTCGTACCGCCTTCGACATCTCTTTGTCCATGGGTCGACTTTGAGAGGGCTGTGATAACAATAGCTGTTTGGGCGGGAGTCGCGCATGAGATGCATGGTTCCCATATTTCGCAGCATATTCCAATAATCGTTTGCAGCTTGTTTCGCGGCGTCTGACTGAGGAGCCGCCGCATACACCAGGAGCAGTATAGCATATCGGATAGACACCACTTCGACGCTGGAATGGCCATGGCGCTGCTCGAGCTGCCTCTGCAGGACGCGAAGCTCAACAACCAATTTCTCCAACCTCTCAGGGTTCACCTGGTTATAAAAGAGTGCGAGATCGGCCCATGTCCGAGCCACATAGGGATGCTTGCGTCCATAAATGGCTTCAAGTTCCTCCGCAATGGTGGAAATACTGGTCCACAAGAGTTCAGACAGTGTCTGTGCTCCATGTTTTTGCTGCACTTCATACAAACAGGTGAAGATTTGCCGGAGAGGATGTGTGCGCTCCAGATTAGTCGTCGAGTATGCCGCCAGGTATTTGCACAAAGCCGTCATCATGCCGGGATCGCGATTAATCATGCCCAGGATGAGTTCCATGATGCCTTGCGGTGAAAGTTTTCTCAGGTCCACCTCGAGCTGTTTGAAGGCCCGCATCAGGTAGTCACCACCTTGGTCTGCGTCGCGAGCTTCGAAATAAAAGTTGGCCTCGACTAACAGTTCGCTTGATCCGGCCCCCCAAACCATGGTCGACGGCCAGCCGATTTGCGTCTCCGTCTCCATTTCAAATTGCCGACAATGCAAAAATGCTTTGCGCATGTTCCCAACCACAACCTCTTGTGCGCGAAGGAGATCGGGTGACCGAAGCGCTGGAGGTGGTGTTGGCGTTCTGCATCGGATATGAGCTGGGAGATCGGCCGGCAACTCAAAGTCCACCAAATCATACTCCGTCACTCCTTTTCGTTTCAAGTAAGTGCCCAGATTTACCACTCTGCCATTTCGGACAAACTCGGAAACTTTGCCCTCGGCATCGCGCTGGAACTTCATCGACAATAGCCGCTTTACTTCCTCTTCTGTGTTGTTCTTCACGAAACCCCATTGAGAAAACCTAGTCTTGTACATCTTGGGTCTGGGGGGAGGGTCAGATCTGCTTCAGGGAGATTTGAAAACACAAGGGAAAGAGGAATCCCCGACTCACGTTGCTTGAAAGCCATATTTGTCGGCCATGATGCTCATGACTTCCTTCAATGGTTTTCTTTCTTCAAGATAGAGGGTTTTGATGGTGGACTTATATTGCTCCCAAGCCTCTGCAGGAACCTGTTCCCGTGACGGCCTAGTACCTGCCTGGGCACGAAGAGAAATCGAATCCTGCCGTTGTGCCTGAATGAATGCGTTAGTACTACGGTTAGAGAAGCCCCTCCGAACCTCACAAGACAGCTTACAGCAAGAGGTGTCGATGAAGATGATGGTTCGGTAGGTCGAGGCGGTTTAGGAGGAGGAGACATTGGGCCTGGCGTTGAGGCAGCGGCGGGGGTGGGTGCTGGTGCGGGTGCTGGTGTTGGTGCTTGAGCAGGTGTCGATGCTCGGGCTGATATTTGTGCCTGCGCGACAGAGGGTTTCCGTGGAGGCAATCGTGGCCTGGGAGGTTTTGCTGGGGCTTTCCCTTTGGCGGCTTTGGCGCTGGGGTTGAATTCCAAGATGAACTGGTTGCCTGCGTTGACAACTGGCTTTGGTGTTGTTGGCACGGGAGGTCTGAAATAGCCGCCAAAGTTGGCAGGGTTGGTGATCGGTTCGGTTTTGATGATGGGGGTGGTCATCGAAGGAGGAGGTCGCCATATTTCGAATCCAGGGGTACCAGGAACTCCGGGAGTGGCCATCGGGCTGGACACCATGGGCGTTGATACCATGGGCGTTGAGATCATTGGCGTCGATACCATCGGACTATTCACACGAGTAGAGTTCATGAACCCATCCATACCTCCAAATGGCGTGCCAATACCGGGACTATGCACCTGCTGAGTATCATGGAAACTGCCATAGTGCACACTGCCAGAGCGGCCCATGCTGGTGCCGATTGGGCTGGGAGTTGGGGGCGAATGGACACCAAGTGAGCCATATTGGGATTCACCTGAGCTAGCAACTGGGCTCGAGATCCTATGCGTATGGGCTACAGAATTCAGGCTGCCAAACTGTGACGATATTGAAGGGCTGGTACCAAGATGGTGCGGTTGGTGCGGTTGGTGCGGCTGGTTGTTGATGGGCCGAGGAGGCAATGGCGGGACATAACCTTTATTCTCGAAATGCGCGACCAAGCGGCCAACCCCTCCCCCTCCTTGAGACGAACCCAGGCTATCCATTTCGACATTTTCTACTGGCGACATGGCCACCCCATCGCCGTGGTGGTGAAAGGTCGTGTCGATGTCGGGCGTCCAGTCCATTACCGATGCCGTGGAATAGGCCCGTCCGGTCCTCTGGATGGGCTGCAGAGGCATCGCCGGAGGAGGCGACGACACGTTGCCGAAGCCATACCTATCCCAACCCTGGTTGGCAAACCCAAACGTATCATCATCGAAGCCAGTCGCGCGAGGCTTATCTGGCGGTTGATGGAACATGTCAACGTGCCCACACCGAGCAGACAGAGCACTGTTGCTCAGTCCGCCGGCAGTCTGTCTGTCAGTCACTGACGGACCTGGGCAAGTCGTGAGACTCGGCTGGAATAATCAGTCTCCAGCGCAATGATTCATCACTCTGTTGGAGTGGCGAGCGTGTCTGCTCAATCAAATCAAGGTCGTCGTGTATGGGAGGCGGGCAAAGGTGCCCATAGTCGCCCGGTGTAGATGGATAGTAAAGAGAAGGGAAATCACAGCGGTAGCGAAGGCCTACTAAACGAGAGCGCTGCGCCCAGTACAAGGGCTTTGGCTGGCTGGCTAGGGGCAGATATCGGTATCGTTCCCCAGATATCGGCTGATGTGGGAATCCGCCTTGATAGGGCAACAGCCGTTGTGTGATTTGGACAAACAACAGAGCAGCAGCAGAAGCGTGGGAGGAAGACAGCCAAGCCACCCAGTGAAAGAGAGAGCGAGCAAAAGTTCCTTCGTCTAGGTTTCCAAGAAGGGAAATCCCATGTGCCGTCTTTCGAGAAGGGTCAATTTAGAAGGCCCCCGCTGAGATAAGAGAGCGAGATCCCCAAGTTGGAGCAAGGACAGACAGAATCGCTCTGGTGTACTCTACTGGACTAATGCCAAATGCTACTGCTAGCACGATGGTATTAAACGACGGGACAGCCTAGGCACGAGAGCAAGTGGAGAGGGGCTAGCATGGAAGAGACAACACGGCGAGCCAAACGTTGGATTGGAGGGGATGTAACCTAATGCAGGCTGGCTAACGACTATTGCAACAGCGATGGCGAAGCAAATAATCAGGCCGGGGAAACAAGTAGGGCTGCCGGCCATTGAGCTGGAGTAGCCAGGGGGGTCGGCGTGTGGGAATGCCACCATCGGCCAGAAAAAGAAGGTGATATGGCCTCAAGCCACCACCCACCAGGGAAAACCACCAATGACAGCGCTCTGATACTGACCCCCTGGTGCCATATTCTCGAGGACACTGTGCTCCGACGCAATCAATGATGGCATTTCGCCTCGCGGCGATGTCTTCAGGCGCACAGCTCGACCAGTGCCCGTTGTTAGGCGGTTCCAGAAGGATTCCGCACCCTGTGCGGGCTGTCGTGTGAGAATGGAGAGACGAGAGGATTTGCTTGAGAGATATGCGAACCACTCAGACGAGGGACAAGACAGCGCCACAGATTGAACCACCACCACTACGATTCGCACCGGTACAACCGACATGCCTCGGGCCACCAATACCAGTGCAAAAGGAGTGACCGAGCCAGCGGGCGGGAAGGCTTAGGGCTCACACCAAAGCCGCCAAGTTCGCTAAATGGATGTTCCTTTCTGGTTCTACTGCAATGGCCTTGCCTTGGTGTACGCAGATTGCTGCTTCAAGATACGGAATAGATACGTACTGGGTGCATTGTGGCTGTCACCCCGAGTCTCAACTCCGTACGCTAACTAGTATAGCACCACTCCGCAAACCCATATGGGCAGAAGCAGGATGGATGAGCACATAATGTGGGAGAGCGTCCAGACGGAGGGCACACGCTCTTCCGAGATTTGGCAACATGAGCCAGCCATTCGCCCGCGGCGACTCTCTGATGAACAGTTTCTGGTATACTCCTCCGTTGGCGGCACTGCCGCGACCTGCCTTGTGCTGGAAGGATCGCCCAAAGCGTGTCGCAAATCCGTCGGATCGCATTTCTTCCATATCCGTGCGTTCAGTGTACTGCCTGTAATGGGCGGTGGGCGTGACCAAGCAAGCACTGGAGCCGGGCCGACAATGTCTTGTCCATGATGGCTTGTCGTATCGTATTTGACAAAGACTGATCGCAGTCAAGGAACAGAGCTGGGGGATGTGAGGAGACGACACTGTGGGGCGCAATACGATTCAGCAGTGGTGGTACAAGCACGGAGTACGGCGCAACATGATGCTGGCGCCTTCGGCCACCGCCGTGGGTCGAAACCGAAGCCTATCGAGGGTCTGGGGCTGACCCGCGCCGAGACCTTGGTGTCAGCAGCTTCTGCGGGACTAGCAAGGGTTGATTGGTGTCGAGATACAACCTTGAATCCGTTTCCCTGGACACTGTTCTTTGCTCTTGTGGGTGGCATCTCACGAGATCTCACACAGCACCGGCCTGTGCCAAACAGCGTTCCCGTATCTGCCGCAATCCGCGCCCATGGCCGTCGTCAAAGAACCTTATCGTCGATAAGCACGCTTGGAAATCCTACATCATATATTATAGAGCCCTCCTTTTCCAACTTGTCTGGAATGGGGCTAAGAGCGAGGCCGTATCTTCAGTGGCCAACGGGTTTGCCCCCAAGTGGGCAGAGCCTCTCTGACCAAGCATTGCAGACCCGCTGCCTACGAGGGAAAAACGACTTTGCGGCAAAAAAAAAAATCGCGTGCAATTACGAAGTGCGTGCTACATTCAGTTGGCGTTATCTCTTCTGGCGGCGTCCACCTAGCGCAAGAGCCCCGGCGGTTTACGCCATTTGCAATTTTTTCTTCCTCTGCTTCCCTTGCCTTGCTGTCGGTCTCGCCCTGATGCAGAGGACAGGGCGAAACTCTCGGGGACAAAATTCCAAATCAGCTAGACCAGCATGATGCTAATATCTGCCGGACGGGGGGCAATTTCCAGAGCACGTACTCGTCCGGGTACAGTACTAGCATGCAAAGCATTGACTTTTAATGCGACGTGTTTGGCGTCGATGAGATGGCGGCAGTCGCCGAGCCACATGGTGCAAATACCTCTAGGGGCGGTACTCTAGCTACTTTCACATGACGGAGAAATACATGTGCCTAGGTAACTCTTTCGTACGAGCAACGGAGCACGAGATTCCTGCCGTGCCTTGGTTTGTCACTGACCAGGTTGGGCTGGCCATCAAATATGACTGACCGAGCCTTGTCCGCGGCGGCTGCTGATAAGGGCTCATTTAAGGATGATGAGCTAATTTGAGCGACAAAGAAGGATTCATCACTCGCATACAGTCCTTGCAGCAGCAACGTCATGTCTGTCCAGCATTTCAGCTTGTGAAAATCTGCAAGTCTTTACTGTTGTCTGAGGCAACGAGCGGGCGGGCAGGCAGGGCACCAGTCAAAGTGGGCGGCAACTGCAAGTACGGAGCACGACGGGAGCAGGTAACGCGACGAATAGCCATTATGAGCAGGTCTGATGAATTTCGTGGCTGATTTCCGAGGCATGCAACACTCCTGGCCCGTTACTGCTAGTCGCTCGTACTGTCAGCCGAGTTTGCCAGGGCCCTTTCCAGGCCGAGACCAATGACGTTGAGTGGTGGGCAAGCGAAGGCAAGCTGCTCCAAGTGGCTTGTTTTAGCATTACGAATCGCATGGCCTTGACTGGATGCCGGGATGTTATCCCGATTTGACGGGGGGAGGCGCTCTTATTAAGTTCGGGAGGAAGCCGCATGCATCACATTCCCCTGAAAACCAAGCCAGCTGCTAAAATGGAAAAACTCGACAACTACTCGGACGTCTAGATTTCAACGCACAGGGTCTCTACAAGTATACGATGGCCATGGAGATGGGGAAAGCTGTCGAGATTTGGATCTAGCCGGAAGGCTGCCGAATTACATAAAAGGAGCGCGTGCTATTCGTGCCCAAACAGCCAATATTGGATGCGGGGACTGACAAGCGGAGCTCAAAGTTGCCGCCGAAAGCTGGAACCTTGCCGAGATGGCCTGGGAGCGATCCACCTGTCTGTTACTTTTTTGTTGCGCGAGCCAGCCGACAGACAGCGTGTGTCCATGCGAGCTGTGTTTCCAGCTCCCTCTTCCGCAAGGTTGTCCGGTTCATCAACCGATGTTGAAACAGCTACTACCGGCTGTCGGAGGCCCTTGCGGCAAGTGTTAGTTTCTGCGTTGCTCATGACTAAAGACAGAAACTGGAGCACTTTGAAGTGCAGCGAGTGACGCCTTTGTTTGGAGGAGGAGGAGGAGGAGGCCCAGGCCCAGCGTCCCGCGCAAAGATTTTCGGGGACGGCTCGGGCTTTGTCGGGCTGTTTCTCTGGTGCCAGCTTGACTTTGCGCTTGGCCGATAACGACTACTGTCTGGAGTCCTGCCTGCACTACTCTCTACTCATGCGGCCAACTACGATATCACGATATCCAAAGGATGAGGCCTACGACGCATGGCTGCATCGTATCCTAGGCCGCTTTCAAATGACACCCGCAGCCAAGAACACGGGGTTTTGATTTCTATTAGTAGTGATTTTCCGGAGAGGCCCTCCGGAGTGGACATTTCCCCAGGAAATGCCATGCCATCAGACGCCAAACAGTGCATGCTGCTTCCCGACGATAGCCGCCGGTCCGCTGTGGCGGTTTCTGGGGATTCTCTTGACCTCCTTTTCTGGGGCAAGGCTGGCCAGCCTTGCTCAAGATCGAATGAGATGGATCGCATCCATCGTTTCTGCAGGATGCATTAAGCACGGGAGCCAAGGATGAGGAGCATGGAAGTGAGAGGGACTATTGTTGTTGAAAACCGAATGTCGTTCCCCGAACTTGGCGTCCATGCGTTGGGACTCCATCCCAGACCCGAGTCGATCTACCTAACTCAAAAAACGTGCGGAGAAGTTCACTGTGCCATCAATGGGCCCAAGTCGAGTCTTTTTACCAGCGGCAGGCGCTCGCTTAGTTCTGCAATGGCGATAGGAGGCCTTGAAAATGGGAGAGGCAGTAAAGTTTCTGTCCATCCAGGCCCCGTTTCCCCATGAGCAGCATATTGTTTTTCCTTTCTTCTCCGCGTCTGGCATCGTTCTAATCTCATTCAGGGGGCGAACGGTGACGCTACGGCGCGAGCGGGTGCCACGCCGTCGAACCCAAGTGACATGCTTTGCTGATCTGGAATGAAGGTGTCCGTCATGTGTTACGCGGCGGCGACGAATCGAACCTCGTAGAGGCGGAAAAGGACTCTTGAGCTGAAGCAGAGACATTTCTTCTAGCACGGCGCTTGTCTCAGAGCCGTATTCGCAAGGAAAGTTCTGGATGCCACGGCTTTCATCCGCTCTAAAACATCCGGTTGTTAGCTGCCGCCGCCTGGGCTGCAAATGGCGGCCGCATGCAGGATTCGAGTCAGGAGAACCAACTCTGTTTCTCCTCACAAAAGAAGAAGTCACATGCCCTTGAGCAGAGTCCTCGGCAGGAACATGCAGCTGCCTTGCAGTATGCCTGTGTCACACATTCTGTTTGTCGTTCAGCCCTGTGTCTCTAAACGCCGGCCTGTGTTACCTTTTCCCAATACGCTATCGTGATGTTTGGACGAGCACTATTGCACAAGCCGAGTGCCTGGTCAGAGTCGCCCGAGGGACTGTGTATCCCATACAACTGCGGGCTCAAATTGGAGGCTCAGTAGATAAAGGGAGCAAAGGAGAGAGAAGCTATGTGTCATGCCAAAAGATGGACCACAACTCCAGCTGAAAGAAGAGGGGGAAAAGGACATACGATGGCGTTGACATGTGATGTTCATTTTATTCTGCATAGCCAAACGTGCACGGGCTTTGGAGACTATCGTGGCAAGTGGAAACAGGACGCACAGCTGCATTAATTAGTTTCATCCTTCAATGGGCATCTCGTATATGCCAGCACAGCCTCTTTTTTGTTTTTGTCTAGGAATTGGGTCGGTCGAGAGTCCCATCTAGCCTTTTGTCTTTTTTTGCCTTTTGGTGGCAGGATGAGGCACGTTACTGACGATACGCGGCGGATGCAGTTCCGCGTTTGGAGTTGCGAGTCATTATGCTGGTGGTTTGAACTATTTTTACAATTGAATGAATGACATGACACGACACGGCGGCGTGGCGAAGAGGCGCTGTGTGGTATTATGATGTATGACTAGCATAATGTTTATTCCAGAGATGTGAAATAGTGAAATTGATTTGTGTTTTTTGAGAGATTTGTGTTTTGTATTCAGAGTGGACGGCTGTAGGAAGTTGGTTTAGTGGGCCGAGGGAAATTTAATATTGTGTCAGTGGTGAGGACGATGGCGACATGGAGAGGAAATTTCTGATGGCGGTTTCTGCTTGCGTTGGATTGATGAGAGCTTGGGGATTTGCTGGTATGATAGAGTTGATTGGGGAGAAAGAGTGTTACCTTGAAAGTTGCTTGGAGGTGGTGGAAACGTGCTCTATGATTAAAAGGATTGACTCAAGGTAATGGTAGTAGAAATGACTCTGCTAGAGCTGCAGATGGACGTGTAGACTTTAGGTCTATATTTGGAATTTGATGGAATATAACTGATCTTGCACATGAGCATAAGTTTAAAAATGGGTGAGTAAACAGATATAGAGCGGAGAGTAGTATGTACTGAAATTCTAGACTATCTGCTTCACAATCAGGTTGGCGTGTGTGAATCCTGGAGGAAGATGGCCTCACTATTCAACAATACTGGGTTTAGAGAAGTAAAGTGATTTTTTGGTCAAGGTGTATGTATAGACGTCACAAAGAGTGAATGCTCGTATCTACTGTTGTAAATGGCCCCACGCCATACGGAAAAATATGATGTTCATGGGAATATAGTTCAATGTTCATGGCCACACCAATCATCTACATTGTGGCGTGTCAAATACTTTCTCACGAGTGCTATAGCCCCTCTGAGAAGGGACAATAGACTTGGTCCGAAGAATCCCTACGGAAACCGTCTCATAAAACCAATGATTTTGCGTTTCATGTTTAGAGCGTTTGGTTTAAGAGGAGTTTCTGCTACGGGATACGCGAGAGCCACATCCCAACCCTGTTGGACGGATATGAAAAGAAGCAGATGCGTGTGCAAGGCGCCAATTCTAAGAAAAACAACACCGTCTAAAATAATACTACTGTATGCTCTTGGTGTTGTTGTAGGGTAATGTCCAGTGACGGGTACCAGGTCGTCGACGTGCCAATATGTATGCAGCTGGGTGTAACGGCCCTGGAATAGGTTTGTGAATTCTGCTGAAGCTGTTGTGGTTAGATCAGGAGCAGTGAAGGCGTATAACTCGGACTTCTCCCACCGAGGTCGTTTCTCTTTGGTGTAGAGTTGGAGTACGCGCATAGCTAAACATCCTCCAAGACTGTATCCTGCCGCAGTGATATCCCTGTCCTCGGCAGCCTGTTCATTCATCCAAGTAAACACTCTGTATTTGATCACCCTGTAGCTGAAGGATGCGACGCTTTTGAAGTTAAAGTTTCCACCAGCCCAGGCGCCGACTGGTTCAACATTGAGACGCCCCTTTCGATCACGGTACTCGGCTGGATGGGTTGCAGTCCCTCGGAAGACAAGGATTGCTCTGGCGGCGGGATCGTTGACGGGCTCGAGGTAGTGCCATACACAACCGGCGGCGAGGACGGACACTTGCGTGTCTGTGATTCTATACGTCGTATCATATCCGGGGTGTTGTGGGTTGAGATTTAGGTTGATGTCTGCGTGTTGGGTGCCATTTGCCCGGGAAGATAAATCGCTGCTAGAATATTTGCCCAGATCTGGAAGTTGGCTTCCAGTGTATGGAGCCTCGGCGCAATGTACGCGTTGTAGTTTTCCAAGTATTGACGTTTGTTATGAGAGGCGGCTGTTCGTATCTGGCCAGAGTCATTGAAGAAGTTGCTGTGATTATTCCAACGATCCATCATATGATACTCGACTGTAATTGCTTGTTAGAGGGCAGTTTCAAAAGGAGTCACATGGTGAGTAACTATTGGAGCCGGCCTTTTGGCAGGAGACACGGGTTGTCAATGTCTTTTATTATCATATACACTTTTGCTATTTATGACATGGAAGAGTTTATACAGAAGTTAGGTTTTGAAGCATTCCAAAGATATGTCTGTCTGTGTTGGAGGCGTAATGTACGAATACAATTAGCCAGAGCCACAATTCTTATGCAACAACGCTAAAACAGATGGCTATTGCTACATTCTATTGCCTTGAAGTAAGAAAGTTTGAGAATTACTTCTTTTTGTAACAAGTAAAACTTGTGTTATGCCGAGTTGCAATATACAACTTGGCAAAACCACGGCCTCGCATGGGGGGGGGAGTCCCTTTCCTCAGCTTCACACGTGGGCGGCAATTGGCCGAAACTCAGTTGAAACTTCCTTCAGCTGTTTCAGCTATATAGGCACTATGCTTATCTCATAAGAAGAATCATCACTGCGTTGTATTAAGCTTTCCAATAAGAACTGAGAGCCAGTCGGGCTGACAGCTTGCTTGGAATGTGGCTGCCACTTGATGGCCAGAGAAACCATACGTGAATAAGCTGAACAACATATAAGTAAATAAAGTAATGTCCGAATGGAATCGAAGATTGAAATATGTATATCTAATTGACGTGGTTTGACAAAAGTGTAGATCATGTGGCTACACTTTTTGTTTATTTGTCGACAATTCTTCGACCTCAATGGTCCCATAGCATAGCTAGAACTAGTAGCATCCTGAGAAATCGCTCACATAAATTAACAAATTATTTTGAGCCACCCTCTGAAAGGGCACAACTATCGGAGTTTGCTATCCCAGTTTGTTTAAATTTCCTCCTCTGCTTTGACAGCTAGATCGAATAGAGGCATCCATCCATGTCTAAAAACATGACATCGAACCCATATTAAGCAGCAACACTCATATTGTAAACCTTCAAATTAAATATATTATATTAAAAAGTAAAAAAGTAATGCAAACTACCAACATCCCCCACTACATATACACATCATCTTAACAAAAAAACCTACTATACAAGAAGAAGAAAAAGATACTAATACAACTAACCCACCAGACCCTCCGCAGGTCAAGCAGAACTACCAAACGACAAGCGACACGTCACGAACGTTTATTGTCAAAAGCAAGACAAGAAAAAAGAAAGAGTCCGAAATACATAAAAAGACCATAATTCCAACCAAACACCCCAATCTGCTGAATAATCCCCTCCCCCTTTGTTTGAAAGAGTCATACGTGATGTGATACATGTCCCGCATAGTCTCTCCTACTTGAAACTCGTCCCATCTCCCATCCAAATTGCTCCATTGCCTAGAGCTGCAAAGTGTGTTTCATGCGATAGTGTTTTTCTTCCTTCTACCGCCCCTATAACTCCTGATCATATGGGCTTTCTGTCCATTTCCGTTGGTGATGTTGCAAAAGCGCGTAAATTGAATGTCAGCGCCAGTTTAGTCCTGATGCCTTGATAAAGAAAAAGAAAGAAGACAGGTTCAAAATTTGGCGAGAAGAAGAATATAACGAAAGGTCGACGTGTGGTTGAGCCCGAAGAAAAGCATTCGTGATGCTTCGGCAGCGTGAGAGAGAACAGAAGGCGGTTGTTCATCTCGCCGTGTCTTTCCGAGAAGGAAATGAGAGAAAAGGCCCTCAGCGCACTTCAGCCCCTCCAGCCTCTTCTCTGAAGCGGATGCCACCATCAACGGCGATGCCGCCTTGCACCCACTGCGTGGCCAAGACTTGCGGTAATGTCCAGCGGCTTCGTGCACGCTTGAGAAGGCCCTCTGTGATGTTCATGGCGTCCAGTAGACCCCTCTCCTTGAAGCGGGCTTCGTTAGCCTCATGATCGCCGTCATCGCCGCCGTACTCGATCCAGCGCCATTCGCCTCTTGCAATCCGGTGACTCTTTCGACTACGCATTCTATGGGAGTCGTTCATCCCCGGAGGAGGATCAAACGGGAGTCGAGATTCGAGCAGGGCATAGAGTAGCACACCAAGCGACCATGCGTCGGTAGCACGACCGTCGTAAGGTTGACCCATGATGACCTCTGGAGCAGCGTAGTCTTCAGATCCGCAGCGTGTCTCGAGCTTCTCGTCTTCTGCAATCCGTCTTGATAGGCCCAGGTCGGCCAATGCTATTACTGAATGCGGGAATGTAGCCCAGTCGACTGATGGATCTGCGAGCTCGTTGGGCGTGAGATTGACAAGAACGTCTGAAAAGATTGTTAGCAAGGTCTACCATTTCCACATCCCCGTCGCTTCAAAGAGCTTACTCTCTAGCTTGATATCGCGATGAACAATCATTTGTTCGTGGAGATATTTCACGGCACCGACCAATTCGGCAAAGATTCGTCTCATCAAGGGCGGCGTCAAGAGCTTTCGGTGGGCTGTAGCGACGTCAAACAAGTCTCCTCCGGGGCAGTAGGTCAGGACAAGAATCGCCCTGGTGGGTTCGATGCTCCATGCCATGAGATTGACCAGACTGGGGTGACGAATGCTCTGCATGATTTCCAACTCTCGCTTGAGACTCATCTCAACACGCTCCTCACTGGCTCCCCCCTGAGGACCATGCTCGCACACCTTGATGGCCACCAATGCCTTTCGATCAAGTGGGGGATCGGTCATGGTTGTGTTTCCTAAATCGGCAGAGAGATGCTTAGGCTGATCCATCTGGCTGGTAGCCAATACGACTCTGCTAAACGTGCCTTGACCCACAGTTCGCACTGAGCGCCAGCGCCTACGTTTTCGATCATGCCGGTCAAAGGCTTCGAAATACTCGTATCGTGAGGTTGCGGCGGCGTCGGTCGAGTCTCGCGAGCTCTCGCTGGGAGGGGGCGTCGGCGGCTTCGCCACGTTGGGGGACAGGCCGCGAGACTCGGCCAGGTTTTGTTCTCTCCTCATCTGGGGACCTTGAGAATCAGGCTTGGCGTGAGGGCCGGACACGGAGATAATTCTCTTTGGGATGGCTGTGGGATCTGGCTGGGTGTATTCACTGAGGCTCCGGTTCCGCGTGTGAGGTTGAGATTCAGATTGAGGTTGATGTTGTTGATGTTGTTGTTGTGCGGGTTTGGGTAAAGTTTGACTAGCCTCATTGCTTTCTGTGAGGCTGGCATATGCCTTGCGCCTTGAGGAAGAGGCTGCGGCATTCTGGTTCTTCATTGGGCCAACCGGAGCCCCCATCGTAGGTAAATCTTCCCCAACGCTGCTCAATAAACTTCGGTGTTGAGGCGGGGACACAGACCCCACTGCCAGCCTCATCCAGGGTCCAGGGGACTCTCCTGATAAGAGCGGACTCGGCAAAGGCGTCACGTCGCCCATTGCCGTAATCATGGGGCTTGAAATAACACTACTAGTACCGCTAGCAGATCCAATTGAATGCGCGAGTGCGGCTTTGAGACTCGGGGTTCGCGTCAGAAGGCGTATGCTGTTGGAAGACGATTTGTGGTTCAAGGGCGTGGGAATGCGAATGGGCGAGAGACTCGTATGCCCGGTGGGAGATTCGCGGTGGTAGATCGAAGGGGAAGCCGTAGAGGAAGAAGATGATGCAACGTTTGTGGAAATACGGAGAGAGGAGGTAGCATCGTGATAAGAGGAGTTGGAGTCTAGAAACGGCCGGCCTCGATGGCCCGCATCTTCAAATGGAGCAGACTGGATTGGAGGCGATGGAGCAATGGTTGTAGCCTGAAAGCTGACGGGAGGCAGCGGAGGATTGGCTGCCAAGGCTAATTCGTCATCTGGAACAAAAGCCGGTGCGTTGCGTTGGGCGTCGGGTCGGATCTCGGACGGACAGCTCAAGCTTGGGTTTAGGTTTAGATTTAGGTTCAGGTTCAGATTCAGATTCTCAGAGCTCGCCGCCGAGGGGGCATTGAAGCCATCGTGGGGTATCGAGGTTGGCGGGTGAAAGGGAGAATTGCTCATGGCTGGACAAGGAGCGTCCCGGTCAGAGGCCTGTCGAACATGAGCATCCATCAATGCGACTCATAGCCACGGCTGTCACGTACGGCTTGGCGGCTGCGAACGCCGCGTCGATGGTCAATGTCGCCCCGAAGGCTCCGGTTGCGACGGACGGAGGCGTCGAGCTGTCAGAAGGACGAAGAGGAGGCTCGCGGTCGTTCCAAAGCAAAGGGCGTCGCGAGGGAGGCAACGTCGCGGAGGCACAGGTGACAGACGGCTGGAAGTGAGGGGTTTGGCCGGGCAAAAACCAAAACCAGAGCGGCGCTCTCCTATAACGGTGACATCTAGGGCTTCTGCGCGGTGCCTCTGCGGGCGGAGGATTGGCGGACGACGGGCCGAGAGAAGCGGCAAGGCAGAGGCAGAGCTTTTTGCGAGTCGAGATTTGTCTTGTCGCGAAGGAGTCAGTGCAACGAAACGACGTTGGTGGTGTCCGATCCAAGGACGACGTTCCGGGTACAAGCGAAGCGCATGACATGCCTGCGGGTCTGCTCCCTGTTCATGTACAGAAGCGTGTAGCAGGTACAACAGCGACTCGGGCCCCACCCGCAGCCGTAGGGCGACCGCCAGGTGGGAGATACCGGGGGTACAAGGCCCGCGCTAGCCCGAAACAGGCCGGGCGGTACGTTACATAAAGTACTGGGGACGGGTACGACTACCTGTACTGTGTAGAGAGGTACTGCACTACGGCGCTGCTAAGAGGCTAACAGGCAGAGTTGCTGCAACCTCAGGCCCATGCCACGAAATTTGGTTCCATTCATTTCTTTGATGTTTGTGTCCAGTCTGTGTCCGGTGTGGTAGGTGCTTTCTCGGGAGGTGCTCGGCAGGTACTCGTACTCGGTACTAGCGGGTACTTCCATGCCACAGCCGGGACAACTGAAAACTCAGATCGGCGGGCAAACAACGCCCAGAAAGATTAAAAAAAAGAGAAGTAGAAAAACTGCCGTCGAATCAAAGGGCATGTGATGCTCCGATACAAGTCCCCCAGCTTATCACCATAACGTCATCCGCTCCGAAGGGCCGCAACGTGCATCGGCTTTGGCGAACAAGTGGACTCATGGAAAAGCGGGGGCCGAAATATAACTAGCATCAAGTTCAAATACCAATTGGTTGAGCTAGTTTCAATACTTTGCTGTTAGTCGCTCATCTCATCTCATCTCAATTCAACTCAACTCATGGGTCGCTTTAGCAGGCTATCTACACGTGACAAGATCCCGGCCGTGTGGCTCAATGGCAGAGCGTCTGACTACGATTAAGTACATCAGGAGGTTGCAGGTTCGACCCCTGTCTCGGTCAATGATACAAGTTATCCATCCTGTTTCAATTCACCATTGGATTGGAATGGGCATCTCTTTTTGAAACTGCTTGACTCCAAGTTTTTTTCTTTTTCTCAGTTCAACCCTCGAAGCATTCTTGAACCACTTACCCCTGCTCCTCAGCCACAGTTCAATGGCCGTGTGGCTCAATGGCAGAGCGTCTGACTACGATCAAGTATATCAGGAGGTTGCAGGTTCGACCCCTGTCTCGGTCACGAGATCGATTTCAATTCCACGCAAGGGGAATCAATTTCTTTTTTGTTTCGTCTTCTTTTTTGTCTCTGTGAAATTTCTATCCGACTTCCCTCTTTGGGCAAGCGAATGCGTGCCCGTGACTCTGCGTTGATGCTTTTTGGTCATTCGATCAAAAGGCCAATGCCAAATTGCCAAGTTGTGATAGCCAAGCGATATTACCGTCAAGGTGAAGGTGCTTCGGGCTCCAATCAGAGAGCTGCCAGCATCCATGTTATCAGCAGCTGACTGTGCTATGGAGTGACAGTGAATCCTAGTACTTGGCTGCGTCAAACAAGGGCTTGAAGTGAGATTCGATTTGGCAAAGTATTGGGAATTTGATCCTGTAATGTGGCGCGGACCTTGCGAGAGAGATTTGGAAGAGTCGACGGTCTTACTATCAAGTAACCCAAGCACACGCAATTTTACAAACATGTAAGGATCCGAATGGGTATTAAGACAGACAATGCTGGTACATATCCAATTGGCAAGTCAATTTCTTTTCCGGCATCGGCGAGTTAGTAGCTGAGCCCCGAGCCAAGTATTGACAAGATGGAGATGCCCAGACTTTTGGTGTTGCTGATGCAAGGTACCGGTACCTAGGCCGTAGCGCCAATGGTAGTGCCAGACAAGTACCGGGCACCATGGGTTTTAATTGATTCCAGCCGTGCCCCACGTCGAGACGCGTCAAGTCGCGTCCCTCCACACTTCTGCCACTCTCAACCACCAAAATTCCACCTCGAGAGCATCAGATTCAGCTTCAGGTTCAGCTCCAGCTTCACACGCAGCCAGCCATCATGATGCGGCACGACCACAACAGAATCGACCCCAAGAGGCGAAATGTCGTCGATTACCGAAAGAAGCAGTTTGCCACGCCGCAATTCCAGGACACGCAGTACCCCCACCGCCTGAACTTTTACGCAGATGCCCCAACCGCAGATATCACACTCGAGCAGTTTGAGCAATGGGCCATTGACCGACTACGAGGTAACGCGAGGCTACCGATATTCTAACATAATGTTCAAAATCTGACGCTGCATAGTCCTGGCCGAGCTTGAGGCATGCTCCTTTCGCAACCGATCACCCGCCGAGACGGCAACCCACATGAAGCCCATCCTCGACAAATACCTCCCTCTCGACTCCAACAGCTCGAGCAACACAAAGCTGCTCTCGCAACGACAAAAAGACCACTACAGTCACTTCATCCTGAGGCTCGCCTTTTCCTCCACCGAAGACCTGCGCCGGAGGTTTGCTCGTGTTGAGACAATGCTGTTCCGAATGCGATTCAACAGTGACGATTTGAGCGAGCGATCTACATTCGTATCCAGCTTGGATCTCGACTGGTGGGAGCCAGTGACAGAGGATGAGAAGATACGGTATGGTGCCGAGCTGGCAGCCATGGTCAGCGGAAAGAAGGCGAGCAGCGAGGATGGAACATGGTTCAAAGTGGACTGGGAGCGGGTGCCCGACTTGGTGGAGAGTCGGCGTGTATTCTTGAAAGCTGGAAAGGCATATGTGCCTGGGAGAGAGCAATCGAGCATGGTTGTAGCAGAATTCACGAGCCGGCTTGAGAGACAACTAGAGGTGAGTCGTACGGCCGTCTATCACAGCTTTGCGGTAAGCTAACATGACATTTCCAATGACTAGCTGACGGCTCGGGCTCTGCCGCGGCTTGACGAAGATGACCGATTAACACCCATCCTTAACCACCTCTCCAAAAACTTTATTACTCCCGACTCAGCTTACATGTCCGGGTCAACGGCTCCCACTGGTGCACAGATCTCGGCTGCCAATGTCGATAATCTTTCACAACATTTCCCTGCATGCATGTCCAATTTGCATCGGTCGTTGCGTCGCGACGCTCACCTTAAACACTACGGCCGCCTTCAGTACACGCTGTTCCTCAAGGGTATCGGTTTGAACCTGGAGGAATGTCTCGCGTTTTGGCGGGGCGCCTTTCACAAGATCACGGATGACACATTCAACAAGGAATACCGGTACAACATACGCCACGCCTACGGAGACGTGGGTGGCGACACGAATCGACGAGGCGGCGGCTACAGCCCGTTTAGCTGTCAGAAGATTCTCACTGAGCATCCTCCGGGACCTGGCGAGGCCCACGGCTGCCCGTACCGGCACTTTAATCTGGAAAACTTGACTTCTTTGGTACAAAGCATGGGGGTATCTGACAGATCGGTGCTACAGGGTGTCAAGGAAGACAAGGATGCTCAAAAGTTTCACATTGCATGTAACCGGTAAGTTGTTTGCCCCTGTTCCCGTCTTTGGGACTTGCGATTCGAGAAGCGCGATCTATAATTATTACGGCGAGGCTAACTCAACTACACAGCGTGTTTGAACACTTACACAAGGCCGAGATTAAAAAGGCAAAGGATGAAGGTGTCATGACAGCCAACCAGCTCGAGACAATTGTGCATCCCAACGAGTACTTTAAACGAAGCTACCTGCTGAAAAACCTCGGCAAGGAGACTGATGTCAAGATGGAGGGCTAAACATTGTCTACACATTGTTTACACAATTTACATAACGGAGTGACACAGACGGCAGCGCCATTCTGTCATGGGCCGCAGGATAGAGGGGAGCATTCGGGAGGGATGAAGCAACTGGGCGTTTTGTCAAACTGTAGTAGGATATGAGATATTGGGCAACATTTGCGTCAAGACTGTATGTATCATGATGAGGTGGTAATCTCTCAACACCATTAATGCCAACCCAAGCCGGGTTACATCAAACACGGCTTCTTCCACCAGCGTCATCAAGATCATCGCCAACCCCATCAGCCCACCATTCTCAATCTTGAGCCTTGTCCAACACCAAAAAAAACCCACCTGGGCTTTTCATAGCCCAACGCCCCTCCCCTCCCCTTGACGTCTCTCTCGTCTGGCTTCAGACCCCTACGCGAGCTAAGGCAAGCGACCCGGCTTGTCAATGATGCTAATGATGTAGGTACCGAGGGCGTTTGGTTCATGCACCTTGTTTTTTTTTCATCTGAAATGATGTAGTGCATACATATCGTACAGAAGCCCATGCATCATCTCATCATGACTGACGAGGAGGGGACCCTTGGGAGTTTTCGGAATTAAACAAGCGCCTTTAGGCATACGCCCTGATGTGTTACGGTTTACGGAGCCCCGGTTTTTAAAGAAGACATCGGATATCGAGGGGGATGTGTGGGTTTTTTGGTGGTATTGCTGGATAGTTGTATAAACTGGGGGTGGAGGGAAGAAAAGGGTATCAAGGTCGGAGATGGTTCGTGGTTTTCGGAGGTTATATCGTCTGTCTTTGTTTATCCCTGACTACCTAGGTAGGTACATGGTGGGAAAGTGAGGCAGGTGTTTGGATTGCGAAAGACGCCCGAGTATGCCGAGGCAATCCAAATGAGCTGATGGATGGACTCATGGGAATGGGCTCATCCTTGACAACGGGATCCATCAAAGACCGCAAAAATTTTAAGCCGTGAGATCCCCGAGTATCCTCCATTCCCGGTATCAGTAGTCTCAATTTCATGCGCGCTATGTATCTTCAACACTCTTCCGTTTTCTGTCAAACGTCCAAAACGGGCTTAAAATAGACCTATCGTCAACACACACTTGGCAATGGGAAGTGGGTGTGCCAATGAACCCCCCATGTAAAAAAAAAAAAAATCGATACGTGTACTAAAAAGCGTCCGTCTTTTTTCTTGCGATAAGATACGGAGATGCTATCTCTCTCTTTTTTCACGGTATGGTGAGAGGGGAGACAAGGGTGTAGTAGCATCGAGCTAAAACAATCTGCTGCACGATGATATCAGAAATACGGAGGAGGGCGTGTGCGGGCGAGCAGAAATGAGACCAAAGCAAACAAGGGTCGGTTTTTATTCTCTCTCTCTCTCTCTTTTTAGTTTGGGAGCACGATGACGACACGGGGCATGTTGCTAGTTTGGGGGGGCAGGGGTCTCAGATTGTGCTGGATAAGTGAATGTCTTTTGATTCCCTGGATTTGTGATTATCGTGAAGTGCTGCATCCGACGCTTGAACTTGGGGGAGATTTGCGGTTGCATCTCTTTTTTTTTTTTTTTTTTTCAAGCGAAGGGGGAGGGGGGGCTACCAGGATGAGAAAGAGTGTGTGTGAATGCTTATTTTTATGTCGCGGATTCAACCAAGAAAACAAATAGTTTGCTGTAATGTTTTATTTTTGAACAAGGCTTGCATATAGATGATGGCTATGTCTCCAGACGAGCGTTAGCGAAAGAGCAGGTTTGGGAGGGGGGTGAGCCAGGCTGTGCGAGGATGTTGCCGATTGCAATCGATCGACTAGGGCCAAAGTGCATCTTTCTTTATGGGCGTGTGCTGGATATCGCGATGATGATGATGACG